AATGTTCTTTATTTGCCTTTAACTCTCACAATGCTCCTTTTAACAAATGAGAGCTCAGTGACCTGCCCGAGGGCAGAGCTAGTCAGGGACTGGGGCAGAGTCCTAACCCAGGTGTCTATCTTACCCATGGCTATGCACCTATGGCTTTGCTAGGTTGAAAGTCCTCCCCAACTCTTTTAGCAAGAGATGGGGTCTCCCTACAGAGCCCGCACTGCCCCAGCTTGTGGGCCTGAATGACACTCCTGCCTCAGCCTCCAGAACAGCTGGGGCTCCTGTTCATGTCACCATGTCAGCTTGTCCTTTCCTTTTTTCAAAAGCAGGAAATATGTTGGCAGCTTTCCAGGCCAGCTGTGCAGCTGTGGGGACAGCCGCTGAGGGACGCTGATGGCCCTGCCAGAAGAGGTGGCACTCTCTAAGGGACTCCTCGGAGAGGTCGCTGCATTGCTGAGACGGAAGGCGCAAGTGACGCCTGCATTTCCAAACATGCTGAGGCCAGCGCGCCTCTGCACTGGCTGAGCCCTCCGCATGCAGCAGAGCTGCTGCTCTGCTTCCCAGCCGACAGTGCGCTCCCAGCCCGCTGCCCTTGGTGAAATCCTCCAGGCAGCAAGTTACCGTGAGCTCTGCTCCAAGCGCCGCAGCAGCGCGTACCTCATCTCCTGTAGGACACCAAATGCCTGGTGCTAGAGTCTGCCCTGCTCTGAAGCTCCTTCATGATGCAGATGTTACCGTAAGAGAACCACCTGGGGGCGGGTCTGATGTGCTGCCTGCGATCCTGGCGCCCTAGGAAGCTGAGGCAGGAGGATCATACGTGTGAGCACAATCTGGGCAACTTGGGGAGGCCCTGCTTCAAAATCTTAAAAAAATTTTTTTAAAAGATGGCTGGGGATGTAGCTCAGTGGGAAGGCTCTAGGCTCACCCGCAGCCCCCCGCCCCCCAGCTGGCTGAATTTCAGGGTGCTCTTGAAAACCAAGTTTGTGGTTTCCCACACAACAGTGCAAGGTGGTGTGGAGCGGCATCCCTGGTCTCCGCTGGTCTCATCCCCAGCCCCTATTTGTCCTTCCCAGTGTCCCCTGTGCACATTTCCCTTGCGAATCCCACACCAAAGTCTGAAGTGCGTGGCTCCTGTCTGCAGGAATTCAGTGCTTCTTCCAGGTGAAATATTGGTGGCTCTGCACTGCCAGGAGGGCACTGGGAGGCCAGTCAGGGAAGGGGCTTGGGGAAGCCTTGAGGAGCTGCAGAAATGGACAAGTAGGCACTGTATGGCCAGGCCAGGAGCACAGATTCTAGAGAGAGGTGTTGAGCAGTAACCCGGATCTTATTGTGAAATCAGCGGGCTTCACCGAGCCACTCTGCACAGGAAGTGATGCTGCTGGCTGGGCTCTATGTGAGCAGCCCCTGGGGCCTGAACCCCTTCAGGCATGCACTCTGCTGGTGTCTGCCAGCTGAGCCAAGCCCTGAGGGTGGACACACAGGCTGACTCACCTGGCTTCCCGGGGCCCACTTCGGGTGGCATGAAAGTCCACGCTCTCCAGTGTGCCTGACTTGTATCCTCATAGTCAAAAGCCAAAAATGGCATTTCACACCCAGGTAAATCTGTGCAAGACTCAGCCAAGGTTCAGGAGACAGGCTCCTGCAAGGAGGCCTCCCGTTGCATCATGCCATGGAGGAGTGACACGACCTTCTTGGCTAGCCAGCAGCTTTCCCCTCCCATGCTGCGGACTGAACCCAGGGCCCCATGTGCCAGGCAGATGTCCGACCACCAAGCTGCACCCTAGCCCCAGTGATTCCTTTTAGCTGTATAAAGGATAAAAGACATTTAAAAGGCAGGGTCAGTATAGGGATCTATTAGCAGGTGACCCCAGAAGGGGCTGGGAGCTAGAGAGCTCCGGGGGTGATGCAGGTGGGCAGGGGACATTTCAGACTCCAGAGAAGTGGGACACAGGGCCCAGGGCCAGAGATAGGCCCTGAAATCTGCTAGGGAGGGAACCTGGGTGTGGAGCACTGACTCAGAATACTTTCATTGCATGGAAATGTAAAGACTATATTGTCAATATTTACTCCTTATTTGAAAGGTTTTCACAAAGCCTGTGGTCCCCTTTGGCCACCACCCCACACTCAGATTCTCACCACCTTCCCCAGAGAAAGCTACAGGGCAGTCTGGACACCTTTCCATTTACACTCATGAAAGTATACACAAAGTATGGTTTGATTTAAAAACACACAAAACAATATGCTGTGCTGCTCTACGACTCTGCCCATGAAGGCACAGAACTCGCTTCTCCAAACTGCCGCTCGACATTCCAGCACGGCTGTGTCACTCTATCTGGACACTTCTCCACTGAGGCGCATTCTGGCAATCAACAAGTCATTATGCTGTGCTGGGGGGTAGGGCTGTTCTCAGACAGGTGCCAGGGGCATTCTCAAACTTAAATCTCAGTGGATAACACCACGCTGGCAAGCTCCAGGCACTACTTTCACTGCCCTGTCAACGCCCCAGGCTGTCACCTGTGAGTGCAAAATGCTATCTTGTTAGATTATGTTTCCGTGATTACAAATTTGGTTGAGCCCATTTTTCTATTTGGTTTTCCACTTACATGTCCTCTTGAGTGTATTCTTATTCATGCTATTGTATATTATTTATTGTTTGCTGCCTAAAAACACTAATTTGCATACCTTGCAAGCAGAAAATTCTTGTATCATTTCTGAAAAAGTTACAAGTTTGCCGAGTCTGTTTCCTTATCTGTAAAATGGGCATAAAATCGTAAGTATATCAACGACATGTTGCAAGGATTACAGGACTGTAAAGGCAAAGCGCTGGGAGAGTGCCCAGCAGGACGAGAGTCCTATTAATATTAAATCCTCAGGATGTGGGCAGAATGTTCAGATCATGACCATTAAATATTGTTTAAAGTTGAATTCAGAGCTCTGAAGATCAGACTAGCTGTGCTGGGTGAGAACTCCACCACTGAGCTCACCTCGGCCTAGCCAGCTCAGCCTGCCCTGAGGGTGGGGCTGGCATGGCATGTGGTACCAGGGCTCGAAATGCAGTCCCCTGCACCTGCCTAAACTTGCCTGAGCAGGCGCTTTAGACCACTGGGGCTATCTCACTGGCCAACAAAGGGTTTTTAAAAAATGGCTGTTCTAGGTAAGAAGACCCAGCCAGAGTGGAGCAGGTGCCTCCAGACTGCAAGGTAAAGAAACTTCTTTTCTTTATAAAGTATCAAGCTTCAGATATTTTGTTACAGCCAAGTTAAACCAGTTAACAGAAACATAAAACACAGACACAGGAAAATATACCCTTTTCAGCAAGTTCGGTCCTGTCAGTGTTACAAGATCACATAGCCACTACTACAATGAAGACAAAGAAGTTCTAGCAGCCCTAAAACTTACTTATGAAAACAGTCGCTCCTTCCTTCTAGCTCAGCTCCTGACAACTACTGATCTTTACCATCCATATTGTTGTACCCTTTCTATAGTCTCCGATAAGAAACCATAGGACTCATAGCTTTATGGGTCTGACTCCTTACCCTTAATACACATGTCTGAGTTCATCTGCATCCCATGTGCCTGTGGCTCACTCCTCCTCGCCCCGCTGTATGTCTAGATAAATTACAACTTATGCATCCCACCATCAGCTGAAGGCATCAAATCTTTTCCAGTTTTTTGCTGATTGTGAACACAGCCCCTCTAAACCTTGTCAACAGGTTGGGTGGAGACATCAAATCCACTTTTCCTGGGTAAATACTAAGGATGCAATTGTTGGATAATAGGTAAGTGCATAATTAACTGAGCAGTCTGCCAGTTTCCATGGTGGCTGTGACATTTCATCTGCCCACCAGCCACATAAGTGTTAGCTTTTAAGTAATTCTTTCTAACACAGACCCCAGGGTGGAGCCCTGTTCCCTGCAGAGTAAAACACCCCCAAATCTTCCCTTATCACCTGACACCTTCTTTTTGGCCACTGAAAATGCTTTCTTCTTCCCAGTCTGCCACCTCCTTCCTGCATCTACTACTGGGGACTGAGCCAGGTGCTCCCCACATTCGGAAGTTGTTGTTGATGTCCTTTGCCCCCTGAGATGTTCTCCCTTCATTGTTGAAAATATGCAAAGCCCTCTGTAGAACACCCCCATCTGCCAGCAATCCCCAGCTAGCTGTTGCTGGCAGGGTGTCCCAGCTAAACAGGCGGGCACAAGCCCCACTCTCTGTGCCTGCCATCTGGCCACAAGAGTCAAGGCCTGGGAGAAGCTGAGCAGAGGCCCAGTGTCTGCTTAGGAGTGCAACTGGGCCTCGCCCTTCTCACCTTCTAAACTGCAGAGCACCCCAGAAATCAGAACTAAGGAGTGAAATAAATTCCCATTACTCGGGGTTACCTGGGGGACTCGAGCTTTGGTGTTTAGGCAAGTCTGGGACAGTTCTTGGGGCTACTTGAACCTCTGTCTCCAAAATGTTTAAGTCTGCACATTCACTATTTGTACTTTGGTGGAGGAGACCAGTGTAACAGTGAGCACCTGGCAGCACAGCCAGATTGTCTTTCCCACGAAGGAGACAGGAGACAAACACTCAGGCGCAGGTTTGTTCTTCAGCAACAAGCTGCCCTGTGCCCCAGGGCTGTGCCCTGTCAGCTAGGTTCCCAGCCAGGGCCGAGATGCTGCGCCGTGCAACGTGTCCGCTCTCCCCGCGCGGGAGTAGCTGATGCAACCCTGTGCTGGATGGGCCGGGCTCAGGGCTGGCGCGTTTCTCTGATCCCCGCGCACCGCCTGTGCAGCCTGCAGGGCTGCGATCCTGCATTGTGTGGAGCCCACAGTGGAGAACAGAGGGGACAGAGGACGACTATTTCCCACAGTGTCATCCAGGCCCGATCGATGTGATCCGCGGAAGACAATGGGCTGCGTGGCAGCTCCCATTCGAGACCCTCCCCGCTGTCTGGGTGGCAGGGTCCCAGCAGCGCCCCCGCCCGCCCCGATCTGGAAGTCAGCGCGGAGCGCTGGCCGCACACTCACCCGGCCGGTGGAGAAGCGCCGCAGCGCGGGACCGGCCCGCAGCAGCATGCTGTGCAGTGGGTGCGAGTCTGCTAGGCTCCGCGTGGGTGCGGCGGGGGAACCCGCTGGATCCTCAGGCCCCGCCCACTGCAGGTAGGCCCCGCCCCTCGGAGGGGAGTTCCCGCCCCTCAATGGACAAGTCCAGAACCTTTCATGGACTGGCCCCGCCCACCAGACAAAAGGTCCCGCCCCCTCGACTGGCAGCCCCGCACACTCCACGGATAGGACCCGCCCCTCGATTGACAGATCCCGCCCCTTCGGCTGGGAGCCAATACCGTGCCAGTGGGCAGGGCGCGCTTGTCCCGGGCTGCTAAAAGCTGACTGGTTTCTAGCTTTAGAACCTGAGCCCTACAGCTGCCAGGATCCAGTGTCAGCCCCAGCAGGAAGCCAGGAAGTCCATGGCTGGGGAATGTTCTGGGTTTTGTCTTTAGTCAGTGTTTGCAGTACACAGTGATTGCATTCCTAGGAGGGAGTTGGTACAGACTTTACACATTTTAATTCTTTTTACATCGCCTGCCCGCCCTCTCTCCCTCCCCTGTCTCTTGGTCTCCTTCCCACGTGCCAGATCCATCTCCCTGCCACTCAGAGCCTTTGAAGTATGCACGGTGTGATTGAAAACTTCGGTTAAAGTCTACATTTCTTTTTTCATAATTTTATTGAGAAACAAATAGCATTGAGACAGTTTCAAATCAAATTGGTAGGTCAGTTTCAATAATTAACACATTGCATACATTCTTCCTAGTTGTTGATTGCTGTACAAGATGCAGACATGATATCCTATTTA